CATTCCCCAGCTTCCTCCTGCTCTTTCAATTCCTTCTGCTTCCTCCTCATCAGTGATCCCTGAGTCTAGGAGGGGCTGCTGCCGATGTCTCATTTATAGCTGAGCATCGAATAGTTGCTTGCTCTCAGCACTTTGACCAGCTGCGAGACTCCAACCTGCAGGGGTTTTGTTGGCTGATTTTCTCATCTCTTTTTACCACTATAATACAAACCCCCCTCACTATGGGCTTTGGTGATTAATTCACCCACTTGCTTAGGAAGTTGCTTTCCATCTGAGAAAATTAAAAACACCACTCTCAGGACAGGAATGTGGGATCATAATGGGAACCACACAGATATGAGTCTGTCCTGCTATGGGTGTATACTCAATATCCATCAAGGAGCACAATGTGTGGCCAATTCCAATGCATTCCTCCCAGACAGCCTAAGTGCCCAGCTCTCAATAATAATTTTTTTTTTGTAAAAATTAGAGGAACCAGTGACTCTATTTTTGAACATAAATCTTAACTTTCCACTCTGTAGCAAGCTATATTTACTATCATGCTAACTCCAAATGTGTTCTTACCACTCCTATATCCTTATTCCTATGAATGCGGCACACTCAACCCCGGAAGACCAAGAGCTGTAAAGAGCTCCTTAATGGATGGATGCTGCTATGTTTAACTCCTACACAACCCCCCAGACACCACACATGCCAAAGAGTAATTTCCAAGGCAGGTCTTATATGCTCAGTCTCCAAAGACATAAAACACAAGGCACTCACAGGCTCCTGGTAATTAATGAGACAAGCCATAGGGAAACTCCCCTAGCTAGTGCTGCTGTGCGCAAGGACCAGGCGCCCTGGTTTGCACAGGACTCTGCTCCATGCTTGAATTTGCAGGCCTTCCAGTCCTATTTGTTAGCGTTGAGGGTTGGGTCATGATTTTAGAGTTGGGATACAAGATACTATGTTAAGGGAAAACTAGGTGGTCTACAGGACACACTCTTTAGTCCACTTCTGGTATTTCTTTCTTTCTTTTTTTCTTTTTTTTTTTTTTTTCTTTTTTGGTTTTTTGAGACAGGGTTTCTCTGTGTAGCTTTGCGCCTGTCCTGGAACTCACTTGTTAGCCCAGGCTGGCCTCGAACTCACAGAGATCCGCCTGGCTCTGCCTCCCGAGTGCTGGGATTAAAGGCGTGCGCCACCACCGCCCGGCTTATTATCAAACCTGTTATTAATCTATCTCTTCCTGAGTCTCCTTCAGGCTCAGACTTCAATTAACCAACATTTTTGACACTAGTTGCCCATGGGTCAATCAGCAGGGAGGAAGAAGTCAGAGGAAGGTTGGTGTTTGGATCAGTTTAAAATCAGTCCCAGTAACACAGTAACCAAAAGTCCTTCCTACAGCTCAGTGGGAATTCTGAAAAAGGTCCAACGTCTGTGCTTGCTGTCTCTGTGAACTAAATGATGCTAATACTCCTTTGTCTTTGGGAGTGATTTATAATTTACAGAGGCAAATGATCTCATTTAATCCACTCCCCCTCCTCTCCCAGGGACCCCATGAGGCAAGGGAACCACCACTATGAGATAATGCTGGAGCAGCCTGGGAAATTCCACCATAGGTGATGGATGATGGGGGATTGTTGGGGCTCCTCGGCTTTCCCCGCACTATGGGCTTTGATGATTAATTCACCCACTTGCTTAGGAAGTTGCTTTCCATCTGAGAAAATTAAAAACACCACTCTCTGGACAGGGATGTGGGATCATAAATGAGAACCAAATAGAAAAAGATTTACACAAAACACAAGCTCAGCAAAAGAGAAAACTCTGACATTGCTAATAAGGAATAAATCAAATAAAGGCTATTAGCAAGCCCCTGGTGTGTGTGGGAAGCCTTCAAAATGTTTTGCTGAGCTCTTAACAATGTCATTTCTACCTGAGGTGTTCAGATATCTCTAGGGTAATTTGGCCTGCACTGTTCAGCCCTGCTGTGGACACCTGCCAGCGAGAAAGACCTCCCCCCAAACCCCAAGAGTGCTAGAGAACATGCCTGCAGATGCCTATGATCTTTAAGGCTATAGGGTCTTCCTCAGCTGAGAACTCCTCAAACAACGCCTCCTATTCAAGAGGATGAGTGGGTGGCCGGCCGACTGGGAGGCAGGGAAGATGTACAGATGGACCTATGCATTTTGCTAACAAGGCTCACAAAGGCCCAGGGCTTCGCATCTCTGCTTGTGTGCCTGAGAACCCTTGGGCCATAAGAACAATCGGGTCAGAATTGGGATGGCAGGATTTCTTCACTCCAACCCAGCGGTCTCTAACTAGATTTTGCTCTTCCATTTTCTCTTATCAAAAATGAAAAAGCACTAGCTATGTCAGCTGGCAACATGGTTGGTCAGTGGGGACCCTTTCTGGAGGTGTGTGGGTAGATGTATTAGTGTCCATGGGATAATCAGCAGAACAAAGCATACAGAGCATTCCCTCTGTCCTCTGGGTGAGTTTGAGAAGACACGGAGACCACCCTGCTGCAGGTCAACTCCCACCAGTTGAACCTTGAGCCACTGGTCATGCTACTCAGGGAGGCTGGCCCTATCTAGGCCCCCTGGGTAGTGAGACAGAAGGTTGCATGCAGGCCTCAGACCAACCTCACGCGCTAAGCAGTAGCTCCTTGCCCTAAATGTCCAGCTAGTTCTTCCCCTCTGTTAGGATTTGTATACAGACAGCATTATGTTTTAGTGTGGCCAGCCTCCCTTTCAGAGAATACCATTTATTAGTCTCTAGCAGGCAGAGTCAACCTTTTGACATTGTGACATGATGTCATCTATAAAGTTCACACTTGAGAACTGCACAATTGAGTTGTAAAAATAAAATTGCAAAAGAAATATCTCATCGTGTTTTAAGTGGGTGTACAATTTTGTGTTGAGTCAAATTCATCTCTATTTTAGGTTGCGTGTAGCCTGTGGGCCAAGGGTGGGCCATGCCTAGAGCTCTCTGATTGTGTTGCTTTAGACTCTCTTCACTTTTAGTCAGGTCCTGTGTTGTAGAATATTATTTTAAGATGTGTTACATTTGTTTATGCTGTGGAATATTTGTTTTAATGATGCAAAGATGTGTTGCATTCTTTTACTTTACAATTGTTTAACTCTGTGAAGCTGTGTTACTTTGCCTGTCAGAAACACCTGATTGGTCTGATAAAGAGCTGAACAGTCAATAGTAAGGCAGGAGAAAGGAAAGGTGGGGCTGGCAGGCAGAGAGAATAAATAGAAGGAGAAAAAGAAGAAAGAGCAAGAGAACAAGGAGAGGAGGATGCTAGGGACCAGCCACACAGCCACACAGCCAGCCACCGAGTAAGAGTGAAAGTAAGATATACAGAAGTAAGAGAAAGGTAAAAGCCCAGAGGCAAAAGGTAGATGAGATAATTTAAGTTAAGAAAAGTTGGCAAAAAACAAGCCAAGCTAAGGCCGGGCATTCATAAGTAAGAATAAACCTCCATGTATTTATTTGGGAGCTGGGTGGTGGGCCCCCCAAAACAGCCAAAAGAGTGAAAAACACCAACAACAGTCCTGCTATCATTAATCGAGGCCTAGGTGACTCTACTGAATCATGTTTAAGGCAGAATCATGAATGAAAGGTGGCCCCTGCAGTGCCAGTGAGGATGTCTTGAGGCAGCAGGAACTTGCTATGAAGGGCACCTGAGCAGTGGCTCACAGGAGGTGGCAAAGCTCTGAAGTGGGCTGTGTGATTTAGCCCAGCCTGTGCTGGTGTCCTAAACACCATTTGGTAGGAGCCCCTCTGGGTGCCATTTGCAAAGGCAAGACCACATTCTTCAACAACCCTCCCGTCTTCGGGGACTTTGAGGCTCACAGGCAGCTGCTTTCTTCCATGATCACCCCATGGTCTCTCCTTACCATCAAGGTTTCACAGCTCCAGCTGCTGGGTCATTTGGTCAACACCTTTTACCCTTAATGTCACAATTCAACAAACTTAGACAGCAGGCTTGGCTGGGGATGCTCCATCATAAAAGTGTCTACACGATCTTGGATTTTAATCTAAGGACAGGGCACCATACCCAGTGTGTCCTTTTTCCTTTCTGAATTTGCCTAAATCAGCTCACCACTCCATTTTGGGACAGGCTCTTAGAGTTGTCAGAAGATATCTGCATCTTTTGTGTGTTTGTTTTTTTTTTTTTCAAGACAGGGTTTCTCTGTGTAGTTTTGGTGCCTGTCCTGGATCTTGCTCTGTAGCCCAGGCTGGCCTCAAACTCACAGAGATCCACCTGGCTCTGCCTCCCGAGTGCTGGATTAAAGGCGTGTGCCACCACCACCCGGCTGGATATCTGCTTGAATCTCCCCAGGTAGCATCTGTGCCCACCTCACTCAAGGACTTCAATGGTGGGATTAGCTTCTATTTTTTCTGTTGGAACCAAGTCTCGGGTTTCAGAAAGTCACTGAGTGAAATGGGATCACCTCATCTTTGAAAGCGGTGAAGTCATTTCACTCAAACCCCTGAGGTCTGGTTAAGTGGTCTGTCAACATGGATATGGTAACCAACCCTCATCCCCATCCAACTGGAGGTAAAAGGCACCTTCTACCTAGCATGCTCCAGGATGTGATCCTCTAGGGCCCATGACCCATTTCAATTTGTAGGGTGAATTCTCAAGGCCCTCAGAAGCCTGGCTTATCCAGCAGATGTCAGCTGAAGCTGAATGCTCAAATCAGAAACATGTGCTGAGATTGTAGGATAATTTTCGATTTCTAAATAATAGCATCCATCCCCACCACATCCCAGGGAAGAGGCCAGCCCTTGTGCTATGTGGCATTAAAGCTGGCTGTCCAGGACTTGCCAGAACACACAGTCTACTCTTGCTACTTGTGCATGAATTTCTTTCAGGAAACTTCTGTGGATACTTCAATCAGAGAACCAGGGGAGGGGAGCATTTCCTCTTTTTCTAAGATGTTTCTCAGCACACAATTCAAGCTGTGCACGACTCACTCTCGGGCCACTGGAGCCGGCCGGGTACTTACCCGGTGGAAGGGTTCATGATGCAGCCTCCTTTCTCTGCAGCCATTCTGCAGCTGCAGCCCCTCTCCAGTGTGTCATGGTTCATTCCGAAATTGTGGCCCAGCTCATGTGCCAAGGTTACGGCAGCACCAAGAGGGCTGTCTGAATGGTCCTCAAAGGAAATACAAGAACGCAGATTTACAGTTCACATCTGCTTGGCCTTTTCTCACCCATCTTCTTGTCCTGTGGCATTTTCCCATCATTAACACTTGATTTAACTGAATCCCCCATAAGGCCCAATGCAGAGCCTTGCTATTAATTCTGAACATGGGAAGTAATTTGGCCTATTTCCTTAAGCCCATTTGGGGGTTCTTCTGGTGAAGGCTGTCTCATGAATACCTGAGGATTCTTTGCCAATCTTTCCTCTGCAAAACATCAGGCAAAAAACTATTCCTGATGATAGAAAGAAAAGGCTACCTGATTAAGACGATGCTAAATGGAGGATGCTTTCAAATCACCCCTGAACAGCTAGACTTAACCCTCTTTCTTCCTTTCTGCATGGTAGGGGAGGATTCTGGGAAAGTTCTTGACAACCCACAGTAACAGCTGGTCATGGAACGTAATTCATTGGAAGGCTGACTGAATTAAGATTATAATTCAGTTATGGCTCACTCTTGCTGGCCCTTTAAGCTGACCTTGGACAAAAGAGAAGTCCCCATTCTCTGATGGAGCTGCTGGGGTTCACGTTAACCTTAGGCCACCAGCAAGCATTGCTGGCCACTTCCAGCTTACTGGAATCCTTGGATAGCTTGGCTCATATCCCAAGTAGACATTTAAAAATAACTGAAAATACAGTTACTTAACTTAACCTAAATCTGGTTAATTAGCAGATGTGATTAATAGAAATTCTGCCAGTGAGTGGGGTTTTGGAAAAGGTGTTTGGACCCTAGTGCAAATGAGTATCTTGCTTGAATTTTGGCTTACGATACCCAGAAAGAGATAACAGGTTTTCCAAAACATATCTAGAAGAGGATATGATAATTTTTGTTTTTTTTAGAAAAATTCTTATTTCCAGTCCTCATGAGGCCTCTGGGTAAAGGTGTGTTTCTGTGAAAGCTGATGGATTTACTGGTGGTATCATCAAGGGCAGGGCTTTCTCACTAGCCCATTGTCTCAGACACAATACCAGGTCTAGGAAGCTAGTTGTTCCTAGATGAAATTCCTGATAAATTACTTCATTTACATTTCACCATTTCCTGTTGTAGGAAGTACTGTAGACATGTTTCAGGAAATAATTCTTAATAATGTGCATTGGTGGAGAGAATGTTGGTGCTAAAACATGTGGAGGGTGGAATTTAGTTAGCACACTTTGGCACAAACTTCAAAGAACTTGTTCCTCAAGAATACTCAACTGCTAGTTTTTCTGTTCTGTGGAACATCAGTTTTGTTTTTAATTGTTTGAGTTAGTTTATATTAAGCGTAAGTGATTATATAGAATCTATCCTAAGGATTACTGGTAATCCCTTTATACCTGCTTACAAAGAGGAAGAACACATATTTTTGTGTGTCTGATAGCATGTCCGAATCAAGAGGTTTTTGTTTGTTTGTTTTGTTTTGTTTTGTTTTTTGGTTAGTTAGATACAAAGGTATGGCTTTCAATTACTAAAATTGACAGTTGATTTTATCGTGAAGAAATGGAGACATGGTCTTAGAAGTCATATTTTTAGCTCTGTAAGGGTTCTTCCCTCTTTGTCAACCACTTCCTTACGCTGTAGTTAAGGGTCATTGGATATAGTGATGATTGACCTAATACACAGGACTCCAACTTCAGGATGCAGTCATGGAAAGCTAGTGCAGATGTTTTAGGTCTGGGCAGGATGTTGTTTTGTTGCCTCATGAATCCAACAGAAGTTAAAGCCACTGTATGATGGCATTTCCACCCTATTTGTTATTTCTCTGTTGGATAAAAAGGGTGTGTGTAAAGATAATAATATCAGCCATCTAATTGGTGGAACCAATTTCTTTGAAAATTTTATTTATTTTTAATTATGTGTGTACATGACTATGTCTGTGTGTGGGTTTGTCCACATGAGTGCAGTGGCCGTGGAGCCCAGGAAAGGGTACTGGGTCCCTTGGAGCTGGAGTTACAGGCAGTCAGGAGCTGCCTGACTTGGGTACTGGAAACCAAGGCCAGGTCCTCCAGAAGAGTAGTACTGTCAACTCTCGATTGCTGAGTCATTTAGTCAGCCCCCTTGATGATTAACTTCCGGCCTTACTTGACTGTCATGGCCTGACACCTAAGTTGCATCTATTCTTACCTTTCTTTCACATACTTAAAACAAACAGGTTTTTTTCCCCCTGTACAATTTTAAAGAGGGCATCTTAGTACTTGTTTCTGTAGAAACAGAGCAAAGGACTATGAGCTGAGGCGCCCCTTCACCCTGTCTTGTGGGACATGGGATGCTTCAGCCCCATGCAGGGGCAGGACCCACTTTGCTCCTGAAGAATTCCATTTTGGCTTCTAAACGTATTTATGCTAGTTTTAAGTGGCACAGTCAGTAGCAACTAACCATGGAACCATGAAACTGAAAAGCACTCCCTCTTAAAACTTTACAGTCTGTTCTATGAAAACATAGCTGCGATCTGACTTGAAGTTAACCCGGCACCAGCAAAACCTAGACTTTCCAGTGACTTCCACGGTGGAGATCACCGGCAGGGCTTCCCTGTTCAAAGGAAACCTGAGAGGAGCTGGTTCAAGCCAGGAAGCCAACGAGTGGGTGCAGGCCCTCCACATAGGCTACCCACGCAGTGTGGGCTTGCATAAATTACCTACCACTGCTCCCAGACGGGAGGAAAATGTTTATGTACCATCACTAGGAAGATTAGATTAGGCAGTATGCAGAGAAAATAACACTCAGCAGAATATAACTGTTTCCACCCCTTGCTACAACTGAACACCCACAGCTGCTCTATGTATGAAGGGTGGGGAGGGAGCATGGCTTCTCTGGAGGGCAACAGTGTATTTGTTTAATGGAGATGGAGGACTGGCTCTGAGGATACTCCCTGTCTGAGAGACCATACCATGGTGGGCACTAGATTCTCAAGGGACAATTTGGTCTGAGAATCCCTTCTAGAACTTTCAAGAGGGCCAGCGTGGGAAGGAGCCTCCTGTTGGGGCAGACGGTCTAAGTTCCTTCCATTAAACTCATAAGAAATCTCAAACATGCTTCTCGTTGTATTTCCTTTTACAAACATATATAGCCCCATACATGACAAAGTTACCCCTGTAAAGCAATAAACCTAGGCCTCTGCCTTCCAAGAATAAGGTTATGATAAAGACAAATTGTACTCTGGCCAGAAGGTATGGAAAGCATTTGCAATGGTACGTAGTGAAAAACCTCAAACTTCTGACTGTTGGGCGCAGAGGCAGAACCATCAAAAAATCACTTGAGCGGCAACATTTGGTGAGACCACAGTCGATCCCAAAAAAAACTGAGCATGGAAGGCAACCCCACGCCCTGGTTCATCCCCACACCAGGAAACATTCCTGGATTGAAATACTTTGACCAATAGTCCCACTTGAGATATGTCTGCCTTCCCTGGGTAGCAGCTGTGTCCCCCATGTGTGGGAAAATAAATCATAAACATGGGTGGAGTAAGGACAGAGGTAAATTTAGAAAGCATCACTGGAAAGGAGCTAATTTCATGAGGTCTGACAAGAGTAGGGATTTCCTGGGGGCGAGGGGAAATGAAACAGGGAAGACACTTCCTGGGCATCTTCAGCTTACCATGACAACGCCTCCAGACTGCTCCGCAGTGCACATGCTCATGATGGGTGCCATGCCGATGGTGGTTCCTTGGAAATAAACCCCACTGGAAAACAAAAGGAAGGACTGTCTTTAATCTCATGCATTAGGGATGCCTTTCCCAACATTTCAAATCTTGTTAGGCAGGCCTGCCACAGAATGTTCAATGATGCGAACAGCCCCAGGACTAGTTACTTGTGACTTTTATCTTTTTTTCATTACACTTTACTTTTCCAGTTGCAAGATGGTCCCATAATTCTTGCAGAGTTTTGTTGCCCAGACTCAGACAGCGGCCAGGCATCACTTTGTATTTCTAAGTTGCAGCCTGCCTCCTGCTTCCTGATGGACTGGAGGGAGCTCTTCCTTTGAAACAATGTCTGCTGATAGAAAGGCTGGGAAGTCTTTGGGAGTCACTGTTTGCTAAAGGAAACAGGAGAGACAGCTTGGGAGATTTTCTGCTGTAGCTGGAGCTTGCTTTCCTGTGTAACTCCTCATCGCCAGACACGAAATCCTTCAAAGCGTTCTGCCAATACGGCTTTTGAGACTGACATCGGCAGGAAGGCGATCACTCTGCTAGAGCCAGTACAGCGAGTGAGTGCCCACAAAGCCTTGGCAGCAGAGGAAGTTTCTGGAAGGGAACTTGGTGACTTCTATGTAGGCGTCCTCCTATCTGGAATCTCAACCTGATCATGAATCTAATCATACCAAAGGACTGTTTCAGGCAAGTGTGTTAATCCCAGGCTCATGCATTCAAACTTTAACATTGTATTTGTTGGACTCTGATAAAGTAATCAAGTGACTTAGTCATGTTTTGTTGGCTGTGTACTAACATAGACAATGCAGTGAGAGTTTGAAAAGTCAAATATGAGGCCAGAGAGATGGCTGAACGGTTAAGAGCTGGCTGCTCTTCCAAAGGACCTGGATTCCATTCCCAGCACCCAGAAAACAGCTCACAACTGTCAGTAGCTCCAGTCCCAGGGGATCCAGCTTCCTCTTTTGGCCTCTGTGGGTGTCAGGCACATACAGTACATAGACATATATGTAGATAAACACTCACACATGAAATAAAATAAAATAAAAATTAAAGTTAGATATCCTCACGGTGACTAATTAGCTAGAGGTAGCAAGCGTATAAATAGTTCTTTCTCTACTTCTGTTTTTTCTTCTTTAGTTTTCTTTTTCTTCCCTTCCTTTTTAAAAATTGCCTTCTTTTATCAATTATCTCTCTAACTATTGCATTAGAGTCATCCCTTGTTATCTATGGGGATTAAACCTAGATCGTCTGAGGGTACCACAACTCACGGATACTCAATTCCTTGCATAAAATGACATTGTGTTTGCAAAAGAACCAATGTATCCATATAATCTAATCTCTTGATTATTTGTCCTTAATGCAATGTAAGTGCTCTGTTAGTCATTATACTGAATTATTCAGGGACGACAGGGATAAAGGTCTGTACATGCTCAATAAAAATAGAACTTTTTCTCTGAACATTTCTGGTTTGAAGTTGGTTGGATCCACAGGTGTGGAACCCTCAGATATAAAGGGCCAACTATACACTCATATTCACAACCATTGTATTTACAGCTGCTCATATATACAGACCATATGAATGGTTACAACTATACATCTGAGTAAATAAGAAGGTTAAAGAAGATGTTAATTTATTTCCAGATGTTTAGGTTGGACAGATTCCTCTAGTGGAAAAAAATAAAAACAAAACATTCCAACTCAAAGTACATGAGATGGACATTTAATAGCGCAGGATCGGTCAGTGCATAAAACGGGAAGCAATTGAACATATCCACAGGGACCCTGATAAAATGGCCAGAGTGAATGATCAGGGAACACTGACTGACTGGAAGTGGATGGAGGTATTTCCTAAAGTGCACACAGGGCAGAACTATCTTGTCCCCCTCTCATAAATGTTCAACAAGCTAGATCTGATGGACTAAAGAACAGAAACCACCGTGTCTGAAGGTTTCACTTAAGTTACATGAGAACAAAAGAATAATAGCATAAAGTGCTTAAAGATTAAAATAAACATGTGCCATTTCAGAAAACATCTGTTTCCTATGGATTCAGGCTAATATAGGGACATTCTCTTCTTTTAAATGCAGAGGTGTCTGGAGTCACTCACCATGCATTGCTGGACAGTCGCCCCACCCCACTTCATTTCACATCTCTCATGCTTTCTATTCTTCTGGTTTTTTTTCTCTCAGCAGACAGACTCGCCAGAGCAAGAACATTTAATACTGGCCACTGTTATATTCAAATTACTTATCTGGGTCCTAGCAGGTGTCCTATGGATGCTGATTGGAAGAAGAATACAACTTCTGGATGATACTTTCTGACTTAGAAAGTCAAAAAAGAACTTCTCCACCAGAGGAGAAAGGCCCTCGTGTTTCTCTGGGTACCTGACAATCTTCACTCATATGCCTTGCTCTCAGATTGTGTAAAAACATAGATTTTTTCCATTAATGATACACTGTTGTTTGAGGCAATCTTATTAAGACTAAGACCAGAAAAATTAGCACAGTGGAAAATGCTCACTTATGGAAAACCAAACCAAATCAAACCAAACCAGAAATGAGAGTCCTGCAGAGGGACAGGAGACTTGCCCATTGGGTCTATGATGCCAGGTGGGGATGTACTTGACCCCTGATGCAGGCTAGGAAGCCCTTTGAAGGAGCCAGTATGCTGTGTAGACAGATGTGGCTCTGGGTACCCACAGGAGGTATGTGCAGATGGAACCGCATCTTGAATAGAGGAGGATAGTACCTCTCACCTGATAAGCTGAGCATTGTCGTGGGATTTGCGAGGTAGAAGCTTTATTTTCCTCCAGTCCAGAAATTCATGGAGACTGGTGAAGGGGTCCTGGCTTATAGAGCATTTGTCCATGTCATTCCACACTTCCACCCCTACCAGCACAATCCGGATGTTCAGTGGTCTGTAAAACTAGGAAAATGGGCATCCTTGGAGGATCACATTATTAGAAACTTAAAAAGAAAATTGAAACTGATTTCACTGTTTGAAGTTCATTGCTGTAAGTCAGGAAAACCCCTCTCTGCGCATCTTTGTTCCCATGGCAACAGGATTTAAGTAGTGCCTGCTGCAAAGTAAAATGTTAGCTGGACTCTCTAATACTGACCAATTTGATGCTAAAGTTATCAGCCATTTCTCCTGTCTGCCCATAGATGTATGGGAGGGTGCCTTTCAAGTGATTTGCTATGATTTAAATGTGGTACAAGCTACCATTTAATATGCTGTCAGTTATTATCTACTGCAAGAAAGAACAATGAGTGGATGAAGATCATTCAGTCACTTCTGCCAAGAGTAAGATTTTTTTTCGTTTTAAGTACAGTGTTCTGCCTATGAGGTACCGAAGATGCATCTAAATTTCTCAGCAAAGACTCAGCTTTGGCTGACACCATCATATTCTGTTACCTATCAAGTTAGGGAGTTTAGTGCCTTCCAGAATAACAAAAGCATAGACAAAACCTTCAGTAACTTCATGACCACATTTTTCTCACCATCCCAAGAAGTTATCTCAGCACTGGTGAGATGGGAAGATCTGTCATATGGAGTTCTTCTCAAAGGAACTTGAGAAAGCTTTGAGCAGATCCACAGTGAGTCTTCTCTTCCATCCCTACATATAGGCAGTAATGACTTCAAACAAAGCCCCCAGTCCATAGGAGATCAGGGGGGCAACTCTTCTAGTTGCCAAAGGATGGCTTGTCTCATGGGCAGTGTGAGTGGCTAGTCAACGTGGAATGCACATCAGTCCATCCCAGGGTTGATGGTGACATTCTTCTAGGCCCACAGTTCAGGACCCAAAGCAACTATAGAGCTAAGAACTGTTATTGTTCCCATTGATAGTCAAGACAATGTGTGTGTGGGGGAAGCCCTGTAAAAATCACCCTTGCTCTACACTTAACAGCAAATTGACAGAGAGGCAACTCTGTGGTCACAACCAAGGTGGTAAGCACATGAGTCACCTTGTGGCCTATAAATCTTTTGATGCCGGTGACATACAAGTCCACATGTAACAAGAAGGTCCCCACCTTCTGAGATCCCGGACACACAAGGAGAAAGGCATTACAGCCAGCTCCAGAGGGAAGCAGAGCCTCTAAGTTTCTAGAAACATCTGGCTAGCAAGGAACAGAAATCCCAGCAGCTCTGCATGTGATAGTTAAGCATCATTCCAATGCAGTGAGCTGAGGCACAAGGAGCTCCCTAAGGCTGAGCCTCTGACCCCAGATTCTCAACCCCCACATGAGGCAGCCCATCCTTTCCCTTGCCGATCTCCAGAGTCACATGGTGAGTGATGGGTCAGCAGCAGAACCCAAAGAACTCAGCTGGGGCACAAATGATGTCATAGGCTACACTGATCCAAGTCGGGGTTAAACAGATAACAGAAAACCATACGAAATCAATACATTAATGAGACAATTACATAAGCAAAATGTTGTCCCATGGTGTGTTTTTAATCAAGCAGCACATGACTTGTGCCTGTTTGCAAACTTCTAGCCCAGGTTATCCAGGAAAGACCATTCCAGGATCGTTCTGAATGATGCCTGCTCATGCCAGTGGCACCCCTCAAGATGATGTTCCATACTGTGTCATATGCAAAGGCCACAGTAATCGGAAAACAAATATTCAATGCTAGTGTTTATGTCAGCTTTCTAAGATATTTCTTTAGGGCCAGGTATCCTGAGTGGTCTTGAGGGTTGTCTTCTGAGAAACGGACACTGTTTGCCTCCCAGAAGTATTGAGTGGAAGCAGGAACTAATGTCTGCCCAGACCTAACCTATCATCTTTCTCAGCACTAATTCACCAGCAAACCAAACAGGGAGGGTTTCATACCAATGGAGAGTTTGTATTTCTCTGCGAGCCCTCCTAAACCACATCCTAGCCCAGATTTCAGACTTAGTTGCTTCTCTAAGGTTGGTACTGTTGGTTAACTTCCACGTGCACTACGCCAACCGCAAGTCACTATTCACCATCCCTTGACTACCTTCTCTGGATGTTCTTCCTTGGTTTACCCACAGGTCATCTTGGTTCTTGTCAGTGAAGTACAAGCAGAAGTACAGCCCTGGCTCAATGCCAAGGTACTTTCTAAGCCCAGGCTTAATCCACAAAGTGACCCTATGTTAGGAACTATTATTGCTCCCATTTTAGAGTCAAGACCCTGAGGCTTGGAGGGGCCAGCTACATTACTCAAGATCATGACTGCATGGCTGGACTGGCACACAGACAGGCTGACTCTGATGTCGTGGTTTGAACCTTTAACACTGCCACCTGCATGCGAATACCGTGACTGCAGACTTTGAGAAAAGCTCACGGGCCTATGTAGGACAGATAGAGGTTGGCAGTTGCCTGCCTGGCTCAGAGATCCCAGAACGTATGGAGACACAGTCAGAGACACAGATGAATGAGTCTCTTATTTACACAACAGCTACAAATGTCTGCTATCAGTTCTTGCTGTGAGCCAGAGCATGGCACAAGCAGAGAAAAGAAAGATTAGGACGGCCTCACCCTAGCTCAGCTGCTCGGAGGTCACCACCAGGCTTTAGGCACGGCGCATGCTACCATGAATCCGGTTAACTGATATGCTATCCCACTGAGCAATAGCATCAACAGGAAGTCCAAGGAATGCTGTGTTGGAGGGACCCAAGTTTTCTGGAAGGAGTGGATAAGAAACGAGGGAGGTAGAGTTCCCTAGGGTCCCAGGAGAGCTGGCATTCTTCAGGCAACCGGCTCAGGAAGAGGGAAAGAGTGTGGTCACATGAGCGAAGAAGGCTGAAGAAATTCAGAGTCATCAGAGGAGGGCTGCTGAAGTCACAGCTTAAGAAGGCTGGCTGGAGTGAGGGCTTCTGGAGTGAGGAAGGCAAACCTTCCTCCCCAGATGCTCACTCCGCTGCTCTGCTACAGTGTAACCAGGACCGGGAACAATGCCTCACAGTTTTTTTTGAGAAGCATGACTATTAGGCACACATTCTGTTTCTGTCATCTGGGACTTTCTGACCCTTTTTAGAACCTCACCTTTGTCTCTGAGTCACTTCTCTGTCTCCCAGTCTGGGGTTTTCTCTCTTTTTTTTCCAAACCAGCACAGCTAAACAGTTGTTAATTTAGAATGCCAAACTGAGCCAAGATGTCAGCAAATGAGGAAGTGGTCACTGAGACAAGTCAATGAGTTGAGCTGAGAGTCTCCTGTGAGTGTAGTTACAAACTGAAACTGGGAAGTCTGATGTTGCCTGGAGCTGTCAGCCAACAGCTGTGGATACAGAGTTGCCCAAAGAGCCTGGGTTTTCTCTCCAGGGTCTCTAGGAGCTGTTGAGAGGTGGGCAGGAATAGCACTGCTAAACGTGTCTGTGTGCTCAGTGACCTGACTCTGCTCTCCCTTCATCCATGCTGGCACACTTGACCGAGCCTACCAGGGCTTCTTGGGGCATACTGTTCTTTAATGACTACCACAAGCCATTAACAAACCCCTAATTGCTCATTTTCAGTTTTGTGAACCGAAGCAAGATATAACCTAAAAATAATATATAAAGAGAGATAAAGGCAGAGGGCCAGATACACCACTTCTTAAAGTGGAGTTTCAGCCATTTCTTGTTAGAGTTAGTGTAGCCCATCATTTCCTGTTACTTCTGAGGCCAGGGATGTGCTCTTTCACTCCTTAGGGGAGTGGGAGGGCTTTTAAATGACAGTCTGCCTGTTGAGGTTAGAGTGCTGGCTTGCCCTTTCACTCTCTGTCACCGGGTCTCCCTCTTACCTCACCTGTTTTAAGGAGAATGCTGCATGGATCTGTGCTGAGCCCCACCTCAGTCACCCAGATCAGGTTAGGAAGGCTGAGGTTTAGGAAGAAGTATTTAAAAGAGTAGTCCCATGAACAAACAAAATGCCCCAGGGCATTCTAATGCCCCAGCCAATTGTGATCCTGCTTTTCTTTTTTTGGACAGGTCTCAGCCAGCCGGTGCTAGCCTCCAACTTGCTATGTAGGTGAGGGTGACCTCAGACTTCAGATCACCTGCCTCTATCTTCTAAAAGCTAGAATCATAGGCAAGGTCCACCACTCCCAGTTTATGTGGTGCTGGGGATGGGACTTCACTTCATGTACAGAAGATGAGAACTCTGCCCACTGAGCTACATCCCCAGGCCCTGTGACCCAGCTTTAATTCCTGTGCTATGCTTGACATATTTCCCAGGATCCATGCTTCACTCTCCTTTCCAAAAGAACGGGTCCCCTAACCAGGATTCTCCTTTATTCCTTGACTTTAGGATACACAGTAATGTGTGAAGAGTTACCACTGAAACATTTAAAAAAAAAACATATTTTGCTCCAGAGTTCAGCCTGCCTCAAGGCCTTGATGAAAAGGAGTCTGAAGAAAGAACTGGGACCTTGGGCAGTCTAAATCCCAATTCATCAGCTCCCATTCTAGCCGTGTGTGCCACATTCACACACAAACACAATCATGCATGCACACATGCATATGAACACTCGTGAACATGCATGTGTGCAATCACAAACACTTGCACACATCTGCATGTGCTCATGCTCTCTAACCACAAGGAACTACTTACTGTATCTGTAAGTGTCGGGAGCAGACCAAGTCCCTCCCTACCCTAAGTGCTCCTCTCACCCACTCTCCACCTTACAAGATCATTTGTCCCAACTGCAATGACCATTGTCCCTATCCCCTGAGGAAGTGAGGAGCTCTCTCATCTGCAACTCCAGAGACCTCTGTTCACAGCATCCTTGCAGGGCTGTCACTTGGGTGCAGGATGAAGGGTTTATTCGTCTACCTCTATGGGTCTGCTGTGACTGCAAACAGAGGGATTACATCTGACTGATGCACAGAACTCAGGACCCTGTGTTCTACAAGAACTTGTAAGATGAAGATGAATTTATGCAAAGACTTTTGCCTTCCTCTTTCTGAAAAGGTTGAAAATTTAAATTGAACAGAACAGGATTTGCTTGAAACGAAAGATGCAGTGAGGAGAACCTTCCAAACTGCCCCGTGTGAAGGGCGGCTTTGTTGGAGAAGCCTGGCTGTGGGAGGCTCAGCTACATCCAGCCCCCGCCCCCTTCACAAGACTGTCAGAGGCAGGAGATGTGTGTCTACTGAGCAGCTCAGCTTTGCCCTGTCTCTCCACTGGTGGCATCTACAGTGCAGCCCTGTACCAGGGGAGTTCCTGGCTTTGGGCCCTGGAGCTGCCAGCCACATAGACTATGAGACTCTCTAGGGGACATCTGAAAACACTCATCTTTGCCAGCAAGCCAGAAGTCAGAAAAGTCTTCGGAAGCCCCCACCCACCAGCACTGATGTGTAAGCCATTGAGAAGCCCTGTTTTAGATGAGAGCCATCAACCCCACACAGTCCAGATTCGATCCTACAGGATTATCACTGGGAGAAGGGTGCTTTAGACAGTCAGAACCTCCATTTCCTTTCCAGCAGGTTCTAGAAGGAACCAGATTCTCAGAGACTCTTCCCCCAGAAATCGTCTTGTGAAAGTAGTGGTAGGGTCTCCCCTGTTCTCACTGAGGGACTTCCAACAGCGGTTGTTCCCAGAGGAATCGTTCTCTAAAATGCTTCTGAAAATGGCTTTGGTTCCCACTGATCATTGAGATGTGATTGGATCATGAAGACTCTGACCTAATCAAATGATTACTGCCTGGATGGAGTAACACTAGGGTGCTATTACCGGGAGGTGGGACCTACTTTAAGGATTACAAGGGTGTGTCCTGAAAAGATACACTTGAGGACCACTCCTTGCCTCTCTCTGCTCCCTGGTCACCATGTGTTGAGCAACCCTGTTCCACCATGTCCTCTCTGCCATGATAGTCCAGAGACTTGGAGTCAGCAGATCTCAGCCTGAAACTCCCAAAGCCAGAAGGTGAAATAAACATTCCCTCCTCCACAGTTTTTCTTACAGGTATCTGGCACACTGACGAAAAAGAAATCTAACATGGTGACTGAGCCAGAAGTCAGCTTCTGAGTTCTGACAGTGCCCACCTTCTAGTCCACATTGGTGCATTGTGAACTTCATACTGGAGAGCAAATAAGAGGCCCAGCTACCACATTCTCAAAGGTTCAATGCACCCTCCTGGGATTCCATCTAATGCATTATCCAGAATTCTCTTAGGTTAGAACACTTGCCAGCAAGACATGATCCTAGAGGTAGCTGAGTCCCCAAGGCCTCCATAGTCTGAACCAGTTAGGGCTGGAGTCTCCTAAAAGCTGCCCAGGGCCTGGAAAGGACCTGCTCAGAGGACTGGACACTCAGAGGACCAGCACAGGACACAGAGGCAGATCTTGGCACAGAGGCAGATCTTGGTCTCTCTTTTCAGTCAGAGGAAGAGCACTTAACTCTCTCAACCTCATTTCCAAACATGGACATGATTTGAGGGATTTAATTACCTGTAAAGGAACTTACCTTGTCAACGTGATTAGCGATCTCTATTAGTCGCTGCTTAACTTTCTCCAGATCTTTTCCTTGCCTCTGAAACTAAACAATTTGAAATGCCAGCATTAATATCGATAAGAATATCAATCAGGATTCCTCTTCCCAGGTCCCAAGATGTGAAGTCTTGGGCTTTGGGGGCACCCTGTACTCTGTGTGTGTGTGTGTGTGTGGGGTGCCCACATTTACAATGCAAGGAGCTGACATTACGCCAGATAGTTTCCCCAGCTGGGGAGTCCCTGCAATTCCCTACAGCTCACTCAAGCCAAAGACGCATACGGTAACTTCTGCAGCTCTTCCAGCCTCATAAATGATGGAGGCAGGGACATGTTTTGGCAACGAGAAAATGGACAACGGGAAGGGCTGTCCAAGGCCACTTTTCATATCATCATCTTGATTTTCACTTCCTGAGAAATTTCCTTTAGATTTGTTTTTAAACATTAAATACGAGAAGCAAGAAAAGCTCATGGCAACATGACCAAAAGGAGAATGGAAAAAAAGTTAACAAATTCCGCATTCTCTCCTCCAGAGAGAATTCTCTCTTCCAGAATGGGAAGAGTTTTCTGAGAAATTGTTAAGCTGGTTTCACTCACATATGTTGAATGAGTTTAGAAGAAAAAATGTCACCAATTTATAATATGTTAATAGGATGGTAAGAAACCACAGGGAAGATAATCTAAAGGAAATTAATTTAAAATGAAGTGAAAGAAAAAAATCAACAGTGTAAAGCCCTATCACAAGAGGGAAGGATTTCTCTACCATGTCTAGCATTCATTCATTCATTTATTCATTAATTCAGATTAAGGCACACCTAACTTTTCCCAAAATGTCAGAATGTAATTTAAAACCATCCATCACTTCCCCTAGATAATTCTCCTTACTTAGAGAGCTTAGCTACAGAGAAACACTGTGGGGTTTTTTTTGGGGGGGGGGGGGTAGGTGGGTACACTTTGCAATTATTTTATTACACTAGATACATATTAAATTATCTATGCTTTCTCAGATTGGGAAAGCACAAATGCTATCTCCACGGTTTCTAAGAACACCTCGGCAATGGAGGTAAGGTTAGTCCTAACTAGCTAAGCACCTCCTCTTATGTCCCTTTGAAACCAGCTGTACTGAGACGGTTCATGGGTGCTTACCTCTCGGTTGTCGGCCACAATAACCAGCTCTACGTACTTGGTCATCTTAAGGGTCTCTCTTTTATGCTGCCAAAAGAGAGAGTTTAGTTTGCCTTAATACTTCACTGGGGCTTCCAGAACATTGTGCATGTCTCTCAAAAAAATAAATAAATAAAAGCAGACAAGACAACAACAATAATATTCGGAGGGTAGACTCTTCCTCTTTGGACTTTGTGGCCTCGTACCATCCAGAAATCGACTCCCAGCCCCAGTGACCTTTTTGTGAAGCCTCAACAGGGGTGATCCCGTTTCCACTTTCATGTGGGAAGTCCTCAAAAGGAGTATAACATTCTCGCTGAATCACTGATTGTGGGCTCGAAAGAAGTCAAGGTCATTTTTTTAAACAAAAGGAGCACCTAAACAACGCCAAAGAACATTCTAGAACCAGAGCCAGCCAAAGGCTTGTTGCTGCAGATTCCATGAGGACAGGAAGATGACTGAAGTAACGCTGGAGTCCAGCTTGTCACTGTGTCCCTTGTTCTTTTATGGCCCACGTACATCTGCTCCATGATTTGAGGGAAGCAGAGGAGAAGACATTGTATAGAGAAATGTGTGATCCCTCTGGGAAAATGCGAAGCTCTTTCTGGGGAACGGATGCTTGTGGCCAACCATTTAAACATCTAGTTTGAAGCAGTGGAAAACTGGGCTGAAGGGCAGAGAGGCAATGGGGTGGTGGTGGTGGTGGTGGTGGTGGTGGTGGTGGTGGTGGTGGTGGTGGTGGTGTATCCAGACAAAATACAAAGGAGCGGCAGAGAGACCAGGAAGAAACAGTATTTTAAAAGTATGACATTGAGGGTTGGGATTGGCAAGAGAGGAGTGGCTGAGAAGAATATGGAAACTGTCTATCCGGGTACAGGAATACGGACACTCAGCAGTGGGGATACGGATGCAAACGAGACAGCCTCTGAGGCAGGTTACATTTTAATCAAGCTTCCTCAGAAAGCATTTACACTCTTCTGTAAATTACTGGGAGGATCCCAAAGGCATGTTTTAGGGGAAATAAACCAATTCATGGAGGGTGGTCTCCAAAATCAAACACTGAAAACAGAAAAGCAAAGCCTTCTGCTTCTGCAATAACCCACAGTTGGAGGAAGTGGGGGTTGATCTCGTCTCTGGTCCTCCCGACTGAAATTGCTGGTTTATGACTTAAGTCTCATACAGGGCTTGAGCTGAACACTCACTGTTACAACCACTTGTCCAGACAAAAGCAAAAGGGATGAAGGCATGCTTTGAATCAGGTTTCCAGTCACATAATCCGGAGGGAAACATCTTTCATAAAACAAATCTCCACCAGGCCAGAATCTTCCAAACAGATTTTTACAAGAAAAATGTTTGTATTAGAGTGGTGTTCCCGCTTGCTGCCCAGCTGTGCTGATTCATGAATTTAGGTGTCCCTGAAGAAATCTGGAGACCTCATGGAGGAAGGGAAATGAAGTACCATGAAAGGTATAATTTCTCACGCTTCTACAGCGCTGCAAGGAGAAACCGTTGGGCTTGGTAACTGTATGTGCAGGCAGGCTTCGCGGTGCTAACTGGGAACTCAGAAAGCCCAAAAGTCAGTCCCCGTGTGTGCTCAAAACGAGACCCTTCTGGAAATGTGCTTCTTCCTTCCTGAGGGGCCAAAGAAGTAGAAATCTCCTTAGCCTTTCTCCCCCTCCTCCCTCCCCCTGATGTATGCATATATGTATGTTTATGTGTTTGTATGTGTGCTCCTTCCTCTGTGTGTGTGTGTGTGTGTGTGTGTGTGTGTGTGTGTGTGTGTGTGTGTGTGTGTGTGTATGCATGTGGAGGCCAAAGGTTGCTGGAAAGTGTCTTCCTCTAACCCTTTCCACCTTGAGATTTTGAGACTTGGTCTCTCAGCAAACTGGGAGTTTATCAATTCAGTTAGGTTGGTCTGCTGGTGAGTCCTTGGGACCCAACAGTTCCCACTCCTCTGCCAGTGCTGGGGTGACAGGTGCATGCTGGGTGCACCTGGCTCTATACATGGGCGCTGGGGGATCTGAACCCAGAACAGAATGCTCTTCACTAATTGAGCCATCACTCCAGCTCCCAGGAATCAATTTCTTTCTCTCTCCTTTTTCTCCCCGCTACGATACCCTGTTCAATTATAAACACAGTCAGCTAATTACACAGACAAAAACATGGTTGTGGAAATGGAGAAATAAATTAATCTCTCATGAAAAACTCATCGAAAAAGGGCTGGTTTACACTCTTCAGACTGCAGAGGGTGAAATCGAGGACCAGAGGACATTTCCAACTGGCCTTGGCCCATCGTCTAGAAAACACACAACCCCAGATAAGGAAAACAAACACACGAATACAATTTTCCTGTCTCTGCAGTTTTCGGAGAAATCCACATTTTCTCATGAATTCAGAGAATTGCAAGCTCAGAGAGAAGTTTAACCACATAATAATGAAAAGCCACAGGGGAGTGGCCGGCTCCCTGAAGGAGAGGCTTAAATTACCTCCATGTGATCGCTACCTATCTAGGCTGTCCAGTTTTAAAAATATATATTTGAAATTTGTGATATGGGCAGCAACACTGGAAACTGCTTGTTTGACTGAATTTTCATTCTGCAGAACTGTGAACAAAAGTTATTCCCAGGCCGGAACCTGAGTCTCTGAGAATGGACCAACAATTTCAGCTCCAAGGTAGGGACAGAGATGGAGACAAGGTACCCAGGAAGGAACTAGTTCCTAGACCACTGCGAGTCAACCCAGCCAAGTGCCCAGTGGCTAAGTATCCTCTGAAGAGCTTGCTGTGATGTCTGGCACAGAGAGTTGAACTCAAGTAAGGAAAACAAGGGGGAGACCAAGGCTACCAATGGGTTTCCACAGCAAGCCTGTCTTCTTATGGCCAGATCATTGGCATATATTTGCTCATCCCTGAGTGTCCTCTGGGAGCTTGCTGTGTGCCACATGATGGGTTAGGTACTGGAGATATAGTGATGGATAAGACCAAGGCCACTCACTGTCTTCATGAAGCAATTCTTTTCTCTGCTCTTAGGATGTATGGTTTGATTTTCTTATTAGCAGATTTAGCCTGTCTCTCTCACAAAGCTTACTAAGGTGGCTGCTAAAATCCCTTTCTATTCTTTTTGTTTGTTTGCTTTGAGATGTGGTCTCATGTGGCCCAGGCTGGCCTCTAACTTACTATGGAGCTGAGGCTGACCTTGAACCCCTGATCTTCCTGCCTCCACCTCTAGAGTGCTGGGATCACAAGCATGCACCACCGTATCCAGTTTATGCGATGCCAAGGACAGCACTTAAAGCCACACGTGTGTGAGGTGAGCGCCTTACAAACTGAGCTACATCTCAAAGCTCCCCCTTTCCTCTCTTGCAGGCACATGGAGAGGGATGGAGTCCAGGCAGGTGAGCCGAGTACCAACACATATTAGGCTGGACTTAAAAATCCCCAGAGAGAAAACTATGACACTCTTGCCTTCCAGAAGCGAATGGGGCTTTCACTACAATCTAACAAAGAGCCTTGTAAAAGTGACAAACAGCTCAGCTTTTTTATATGCTAGCCAGTGTGACCGCCTCCATCAGATGGATTCCTGGTGCTCCGTGAGGAAAAATGCAAACATCTACAGAGAAGCCGAGATAGTTAACACTTAGGGGGTCGGAAAAACGCTGGAGAAGAGCAATTGTGCTTGGTGTGCCGCATAAACAAGATTAATTAGCTGCAGTTATATTGATTTTTTTAAGTATAGAATAAAAGGCAGCATAGTGAGGAAAGTGATGGGCATGCACCTCGAATCTCTGCTCTGCCTGTTCACCAGAGCGCTCCAAAATGACCTTCCAGGTGCCCGGGACTCCCAAGTATTCTGCTTATTTGAAAAACAATTTTTTTGTACCGTCTTTATTATCTGCTCACGGTTTAGGGCAAGTTCTTTCCCTTGTGCAAGATCATCACAGGAACTTTTAGAACAACAGTGGGAGTTGAGGGGAACGGCACCAGCATCCATGCTGTCCCTTCTCCATTTAAAGGTTCATTTACGTCCCCACATTAGCACCCAGCATCATTACGCTGGCTTCCTCATTTCTCTCCACATCAGTGTGACTGGAGATGATGGTGTCGATCGTGGTTCTAGAGAGCTGTGTATGCTCAGGGAATTAAAATACGGTCAGCAAGTACAGACCAAGTTCGTACTTCTAAATGAAATGGGAGCACATTTGAGCATCATTTAAACTGTCAAGTTATAAATCATGCAATGTGGGTAACCGGCATTCAACCAGGTACTCAAAGCCAAGAGCCTGGAAAACAAAATGCAAATGTTCTACTTGTTTATGATGGGTGAAGCTTGGCTCGGTCACATCCTAGCTGGGGTCTGGACTCCAAAGCAGGCATGTTTGAAGAGTGAAATAAACATGAGAGGGACTAGAGAGGCTGTCTCTGATTCCAGCTCTTAACTCTGTCACTCAAGAGAGATGGCGCAGGGGAGGAATGCAAGAGGGACCCTTTAGGAGCTGCTGCTGGGGACATTCTCTCTCCCCTCCCTCCCTCCTTCCCTTCTCCCCTCCTTTCTTCCCCCCATCTCTGTCTTTCTGTCTCTCCCTTTCCCTCTGTTTTGTGTGTGTGTGTGTGTGTGTGTGTGTGTGTGTGTGTGTGTGTGTGTGTGTAGGTGCACGCGCTTGTGTGAGCAGGTGTGTGGAGGCCAGAAGGCAGCTTCAAGCATTCTTCCTCAGGACATCGTTCACAGATTGGTTGGTTAGTTGTATTTTTGTTTGTTTTGCTTTGTTTGAGACAGAAATTTTCACTGAACTTGCCAAGCAGTCTAGACTGGCTGGCCAGGGAGCCCCAGAGATCCTCTTGTCTGCACCTTCCAAGAGCTGGGATTGCAAAAGAGCATCAGTGTGTCTGGCTTTTAAAAAATGTATTAGTATAGGTCCTGGGGATCAAACTCGGGGATGCATACATGCACTGCACTGACTGAGCTATTTCCTTAGCCTCATTTTGTTATTCTGAAATATGGTCCCATGAATTGGCTCTGTAATGAGAATGCCCTTGAACTCTTCATCTCTATCTACCCTTCAAAGTACTAGGATTATAGGGGTACACCACCACCCCTGGCATTTCTGGGTAGTTTTAAGATCCTGGAATTCAGATGGGCTTCCGTCCTCATTCCTTAAGAATCAATGCCAAGGTGAGCAATAGCATGTCAAGGGAGAACTCTTCTTCCTATGAGGAGGCAGACAAATGTTTTGAGCATTATACACGGACAGTCTTGGGAACCATCATAGGGGAAAGGGTGTGGATCTCATGACAGAAAATCTGGATGGACAAGGAAAGGTCCAGAACTGGGTGGCTTAGAGCAGTCTTGGAGAACAGACACTCTGCACAGGTATAAAGAGAATGCCAAGAAAGGGGCAAATACATGGAACATAACTCTTTTTGTTTAAACTTAGAGGGCTAGGGGGCCTAGCACGCATAAGGCCCAAGTTCAATCTCTAGGACTGCTAAAAAGCAAAAAGAAGGGAAGCAAGCAATCAAGGATGGGCTAAAATGCACCAAGAAAAATCTTCACGGAATGTCGACCGTTAGGTATACTGTTGGCTCAAAGTTAGATGACTATTAGCTAAAGCTGGGAAAGACAACATGTGTTGAGGGATGTGAAGAACATGTCACTCTTATGGTCCTCGATAATAAAATGTTAGCATAGGGGACACCATACATTTGATTTTTAAATATTTCTTCTCAAGTAAAGAATAGGAAACACACACATAACACACCCCTACCCCAAATAAAACAAAAACAGCCAAGAAAAGGTTGATAATTTCATCTCTGGTTATAACCTAGCGGTGGAAAAGACCCTTTGCTCCTTGCCAACAAAGCTTCACTGTGGCCCATACAGCCCATGGGAATGACAATGAGCAGGTACCATAGGGCCGAGTTGTTCCAGGGCATTATGGGAAATGTTGGTGAGGGGAATCAGTTTGTAGCACAGACTCTGTTGACAACTCCAGTGCTGCAGCAAAAAGAGAGTCATGGCAGGAGGTCAGAAAGGCAGGCTGCTGCAGAGTCCTGGGGGACAAGGACAAATGGTGACAGTATGGCCTATGGATAAATGAGACCAGTAAAATCACTGGAGAAGACTCCGAGGCCCTCTGCACAGGCAGGTGGGTCAAGATGGTCCATTTTCTATAGCTAGTTCTGAGATCCCGAACTGTGGAAAAGCCCGCGGGTAATGAAATTCAAGGTGGAGAATGGGAAGGGGTGGGGGAACTCATGCTTGTTTTGCTGGCTATCAGGCTGTCCCATCCTGGCTTCACCCTGCTGTCTATGCCCACGGTGGCTTTGCTACCCCCTGACCCTGATGATATGACTTTACTTATCACGTTAATGAATCTGATGCTCACAGTTGCAGGGGTTTGAGTTTGTGACTATACTCTTCCCAGGGCATCCCCTGCCTCCTGAGGAATGGGGCTCACTCCATCCACACTGCATCCAGCAGCAAGGTTGCTTCAGACCTCCCAGCCCTGAAGGTCTCTTCCTTCAGGCCTCAGCTCAAGAAATATGAACTTGGGATGCCCTCTTACCCTTCTTGACCACATTTGAGAGGGTTCAGGGGAGACATCTTCCATGGTGAGGCTGGACTGGTTATGATGTGACCCACACAACCCCTGGATGTTCTTCATGGTCTCAGCTGGGATGAGTTTGTATCTGTTGGTGGCGTTTTTCATCGGTTCTAAGATATAGGTTTTATTTTCAAACACGATAAGTCCCCTGTTGAAAAGGTAATACAAACATTAATTTTTAAGGACTGTTCCTTATTTATGACGAAGATAGATTTTTTTTAAAAAAGATTTATTTTTACTTTGACTTATTTCTGTGTTGGTGTGTGTGTGTGTGTGTGTGTGTGTGTGTGTGTGTGTGTGTGTGTGTATGTGTGTGTGTGTGTGTGTGTATGCTACAATTGTGTGGGGACCTGAGGAGGCCAGAAGACAGTGTTGGTCCCTGGAGCTGGAGTTATAGGTGTTTGTGTGACACCCAGTATGAGTGCTGGGAACCAAGTTCTGGTCCCCTTGAATGCTTTTGGCCACTGAACCATCTCCCTAGCACCCAAAATAGAGTTCTAAATGAGATAGAAAATAAAAAGGGAAATCCTGGTTTATTTATATTTTCAAACTTTAGGAGGAGAAGCCATTTCTATACTTTGTGTTTGTGTCATTCATTTTGAAAATTGTTTGAAAACCAAGTTTGGGGATTTCACTTGTTTCAAATATTTTTATGGTAAAGAACAGACTGCATTATGCCTGGTTTTGTTTTTGTTTGTTTTTCTTTGTTTTTTTTTTTCCTCCCCATCTCAAAGATATATTACTGTGAAAGAGAGTCTGGCAGAAAGACCCCATGTGACAATAAGTCCATTTGAATTAGCAGACATAGTTCAGAAAGCAAACCTTCCCTTCTCTTTGAAAAGACAATTTCTGTTCTGAAATAATTTGTCCTGGTCAAACCTATTTTCTACATCTTTGACGGGATTCAGATATAAAAATGGGGAAAGATTTATAATGTTTTTATATTTTTTCTTATTTAATCTGTGGGAGATGCACCCATCTTTGAATGCACCCATCTTAGAACCTGCTGTGGACAGACTGTGATATGTCCCCCTCAGGCTCACATTATAATACTTGGTCCCCAGAGGGTGGCGCTGTTTGGGAACCTTTAGGAGGCAGAGCCTTGCCAGAAGAGTGGGTCAGGGGAGTGGAACTTGAGGTTTTATAGCTCAGCCCTAATTCCTGTCCATTCTCTACTTCCTGACCATGGTGTAATGTGGCCAGAAGCCGCCAGCTCCTGCTGCCATGCTCTCCCATCATGCTGACTGTGTCCCCTTGAATTATGTCAAAGCAAACCTTGCTTCCCTTAGATGGCTTCTTATTAGGTATTTTCTCATAACAAGAAAAGTAACTAACACAGTACCCAAAACATTTGAACTAATCCTTGTGTGTTTGTGTGTGTGTGTGTGTGTGTGTGTGTGTGTGTGTGTGTGTGTGTGTGTGTGTGTAGGCTAGCCTTAATTCCATTGGGGAGCTCTTTTTTTATATCTTATTGTGTATATATGCATCTGAGTGTTTGCACATGTGTGTGCATGCTGGTGTGTGTGTATATGTGTGTATGTGTGTATGCACTCATGTGGAGGCCAAAGGTGGACTTTAGGAATCTTCTTTGATCACTTTACACCTTATGCTTTGAGGCACGGTCTCAGGGATCACCTGTGACCAGTCACACTAGACAGCTTGCTCCACACATCACATCTGTACACCTTCCAAGGCTGGAATCACAGCTGCTATGTCCATTAGGCATTTACGTGGGTCCTGGGGATCTGAACTCCAGTCTTCTTTCTTACACATCAAATGGGGAGCCCATTAGAGAATTGAAGAACACTGTGAGAGCCTCCCCGTCCTGTGGCTGGACAAGGGCCATCTGGTGTCCAGTAGCTCCAGGTTCAAGCTGCAGCTCTAACACTTCCTACCTGTGGGAGCTTGTTTACTCTCCAACTGTCCCAAACTTGGTTTCTCTACCAGCACAAGGTGGATAACAGTAACTTCCTGTCATGATTGCTACACCACTCGGTGAGAACATTCAGCTCCATAGGTGTCCAAGTTACTGCTTAAATGGTGGCATCTCTCTTCCTTGGATAAGGACAGGTCTACACATCAGGTTGCTATTCACGGGTTATTTCAAAGGCTGACAATTGTAGGCAAGTCTTATACTGCATGAATGTATCCTACCCACAGGAATGCTGGCCACCTGCTGCTCCCTGATATTAAATGCAGCGTTCATAAGATAAACACTCTTCTGGGAATGACAACGACCAAACAGAACCCTGTGAGCCAACACTTAGGCTTAGACATAAAGGTTTAGAGTTTTAAAATACATGGACAAAAGACCTCTGGGTAAGATAGCTGCTTAGAAGCCAGAGCGAACGATTGATTATAGTCAGGGAGACAAAGTGAAAAGGGGTATCTCATCACTCCCCCATCAGCCCCCAGGATCCACCTGGTCAAAGCTACAATAAACTTCCTATGCCTTTGACCCTTCGCTGCTGCCACAGATGCAGACTCCAGCAAACTCCAGCAGTCGACTGCAAACCAGGCTAAAAGGCCTTGTCTAGAAAACTTACAAAAGCTGTGTTAAGAGATTTTATCGATTGGGTCCCAGAGATCGCCACCAGGACCCCATTAATGTCCCAGTGGGAACAGTGAGATAGTGGGAGCCAAGTACAAGCTCTAGACAAGGCTCTGGCACCGCATGGCCACCCCCGCTGAGGCCCGGTGAATCCAGCCAGGCAGCTATCCCCAGCTCAAAGAACAGAGCCAGATAGCTCATTAAGAAAACTCCACGCACAGGTGAAGCTAGGAACTCACAGGAGAAGAACAGGGCTGCCAAAAATCAATATGGAGGACAGCTCGGAGTAGAACACGAAAGGCAATGCAGTGGATGTGCCATGCAAGACAAAAACCAACATCCAGGCCACTGACTGCATCCTCTCCTGTCTCCGCAGAGCTCTCAGCCTCCCACAGCTGTTCCTTATCTCTGTAATACCCCAGTCAGCCTTGTAGACCAGCTGCATCCCCACTGCTTACATCAAATACTTTCTTCTTTCCCTATTCCTTTCCTATTGCTACATCTCCTAAAGCCTAGAGGCTGACCTGGTTTATGATATCAGAGTATATATCTTTATACCATCCTGTTGCCTACCCTTAAATCTCCCTTCCTTTCCCCCCACCTGCCTCTACTATTCTACTCTTCCTCTGCATATGTATTCTCTATGTATTCCTACTCTTCCCCATGTTCTTTGTCTCTAGTTCTCATCTAGTACCAACCACTAACCACTCACTGTGAATTCTCATTTCTCTTTTTCTTCCACTCACACCCACAATAACCGATGCATTAGTATAGATGGTACTGTCTGGGCCTTTACTCTCTCCAACAATTAGTATTTAACAAGGATCTGTTTGGTAGCCGCCTGCTACTCTACTGTCAGAGTAGGTTAACTGCTGGCTAGCGACTATTCCTGAAGTATCAACCCACGGGGATGGACTGGAGATAGATCCTGGCGTCTGTAACACCTGTCTGATGGAGTAAAAACTCGCCCACCATGACTTTACTACGCCCTGACTCTTCTGACCTATAAACCCCTCCACTGAAAGAAGAGAGGTACCTGAAAAGAAGAACAAAACCTTCACTAACCTTCTAACCTCACCTGGCCTGATCCAAGTAGAAAGGCAGAAGTAACATGAAATGTCAGGACTACGTGTCTTCTCCCAAAGCGGCCACTCTACAGTTGTGGCTCCTGATGGAAAGGACTCAGACAAAATTCTAGTCACACCATTCCAAGGAATGATGACAAATATGTTCAAACAACTTGTGCAGGACACAAATATTGTCCAAGAGAGCACAAACAGTTTGCTAAATACGGGAATCAGTTCACGATATGGAAGTAGAAAGTAACGAGATACTGAAGAAAATGCCACTGAAATGAAGATGGACATGGGAAACACAGCAGATGAACTGAAAAGTTGAGTGTAAAGCCTCACGACAGAATCGATCACGATGAAATAGCTGGGTGTGAAGACGAAGCAGAGCAAGTGGGGCAGTCCCTCAGGGTCAATGATGGATTTTAAAAAACGGATGGATGGAACATGCAAGAACTTGGGGGCACACCACAAAATGGTAAAAATGACAAACCATGGACACAGAAGGAGGAGAAGAATTTCAAGCAAGAAACTATTTCACAGAAGAAAATAACCACGGAAGAAAAATCTCCAAATCTAGGGAGAGAGAGAGAAGCCAACCCAGATCCAAGAAGGACACAGGACATCAAAGGGACAAGACTGGAGAAGAGGCTTCCTGTGCACAGCATCACACTTTAAAACAGAGTGTACAGAATGAGGGAAGTACACCAGAAGTTTCCAAAGAGAAGGACCAGGCCACAGGAAAGACAAGGCCATCAGAACAATTGCTGGCTTTTCAATCAAAACCTTCAAAGCACAAAGGGCTTGGGGACGAGGTATTTCAAAATCTGGATGATCACAACTGCCAGCCCAGCTTATTATAACCTGCAAAACTATCTACCATAACTGAAGGTAAAAGAAAACTTTCCATGATCAAGGCAGGCTAAAGGAATTCATGACCATCAACCCACTCCTCCAGAGAACGCTGCGGGGAATCCTTGGGACCAAAGAGAAAGATAAACACACTCAAGAGGCTAGAGGAGGAAAAAACCAAACCATACTAAAAAGAAATTAAACAAAAGAGTATTAAGAGACCCTCAAACACTGTACAATCCACAAGAATGGCAGGGATATACACACACCTGTCAGTAATAACACTGTCTATGAATAATCTCAATTATCCCATTAAGAGCTACAGACTAGAAGACCAGATTACAGAATTCTTATTTTGCTACCTCCAAGAAATGCACCTGATGGCTAAAAATAAACATTACCTCAGGGAGAATGGATGGAAAAAAGTATCCCAAGCAGATGGAACCAAGGAGACGCAGGCATTGATATCCTAATATCTGACAAGATAGACTGAAGCCAGTTCTTGTCAGAGGAGATAAAGAATGTCACTTCATGCTGACCAAGAGAACCGTCCATCAAGAGAAAACATATGTATTTTAAATATGTATGGCCCAAATGCAGGCTCATCCCATTTCATAAAACAAATACATCTAGATCTAAAGTCACAGATTAACTCCAACACAGTAGCAGTGGGTG